TTTAACACTGTTCACAGTCATTTAATTTGAATGACAAAATATATTAAATTCTGGTGAATTTTGACAATACTTTTTGTGAAAAGATTTTTATTTACAAAAGTGCAGTTTCAGAAGATAACAGACTAGATAGGCACATTTTAGTAGACTGGTCTTCTCATTCCTGGTCAAGGAGCTTTTCTAATTGATGGTTGATGTTTTGCAGATGGTTTTCAGCTCCCAAAAGGGTTCTTGCTTTAAATAACAGAGCTGGAAGGCTGGATGAATCATACTNTGTATCTTCTGATGCTGACTGGGATAATGGCATTGATGACGCTTATTTTTTAGAAGCTAGTGAAGATGCTGAATTAGCTGAAGCTGCAGAGAACAGTCTTCTCAGTTACAACAGTGCAGCAGATGAAATTCCCGATGAACTAATTATAGAAGTATTACAAGAGTAGCTAATTAACTATGAACACTTACAGAACCAGGCTGTAATTTGCCCGAAGTCTGTAAGATTTGATAACATTAAGTTATAGTAACTTATTAAGCCTGTTTACATCAACTTAGTCTTATCACTTTGTTTTCCAATTTGTGTTTTTTTACTTAAGTAAACCAGTTTTATTGAAAATAACTTTGGACTACTTAAATTCAGTAGAAATCTCCTGGTTAACCAAAATTAGTCTGTTCACATCAACTTTTCAGGTTTATTTATAGGCTGAAACATATATCNTCAGCTCCCAAAAGGGTTCTTGCTTTAAATAACAGAGCTGGAAGGCTGGATGAATCATACTGTTGAAAGAAAATTTATTTAAAATATCAAAAATCAAATATCAAAAGCTTTTATAATCTGTCTTTACATAACTCAATCTTATGACCAATGCCAATTTTGATAGAGCTTTCTATTAGCCACTCCGTTCATTTTTTAAATAGGACAATTAAAAAATATTGGTTTTAATTCATTTCCTGAGGACATAATTGATCATATAAAGTTGCAAGGGAACTGCTCTGCAAAACATGAACTGTTCTCTCATCCCAGAAGACCACCTGGTTCAAAGAATGGTGGCATGTAAATTATTAAAACAGAAAATTATGCCTGGGACAGGTCAAGACGTGGTTTGGGCAAGTCTGCTAGTGCTGTGTGGGGGTCTGCTTGATCTCATGTCTATTTTAAAACACAAAAAACTAAGGCAGGCTTACTTTTACTGCAAGAACTGATGGACTAGAACACCAGGCCCATAAAAGTTCACAAAAAAACCCTGCCAAAATCTGCATGTAGAAAAATTATCTATTGGGAGGATCAATTAAATGTCTTAAAGGTTGCCAATCCAAATGTACTTACTGATTAAAGACAAAATTAGAATACAAGCCTAACATAAGATAGAACACAGAATCCAACTTAAAATTTTGAAAAAAACTAGCAAAGCTAAACTTCCTTTTGCAAATTGTATCTATGAGTAAGTGATTAAATGACTCTTACAAAACTTTATCATACTTTTGATAATTTGCCGTTTAATAACATTTTTCAAGTTTATTTCCTTAGTAATGAAAACTGAGCAGAAAAGGTCTCAGGCTACGATTACCACATTATAATGGAAAAATTTCCAGCATACAATTTACCGTATTACTAGAGAATTCAATTTAACAAATATTTGAGAGCCTAATGTGTTCAAGACACCATGGGCACCTGCCTTCAGGGAGGGGTGAAGGGGAAGAACTCCCATTTGCTGCTAGATGTTT